AATATGGTTCATGGGGTCACGAAGAGTCGGACACGACTTAACGACTAAACAACAACAAGTTGCCCATGCCGAAAGCGAAACAAACTTTATCTTAGCTTAGCATGGTAGGTGAATCTAGCCTCTGTGATAGGCTTTATGACAGGCATGTTTTATGAACAGTCATATAATACTTGGGAGAGATGAGATTGACATCTGCAGAAAACCTGATCAATATCTTGGTACTGATCTCCTGAAGCCTAGAGAACCTAACTACTATGTATATGTAGCAAACCAGGACTACCTCTATCTCAGGGAATCCATAATTCTCTCTGTTGTAACCCCATCCAAGGTTATGGAGTGATCTCCTTGTTGACCTCAGTGCAACAGCTGAAGATTGGGAGATAATTCTAAGTAGATCTCTGAATGACCTTTGTCGGGTATGACCTCCTTCTTTGTAAACTGGGAAGTGATCACATGAATGTTGGGAGGATGAAAGAAAGGGAGGAGGGAAAAGCAAAACAAAAGAATATTGCTGTCTCCCTGGATTGAAACCAGGATACATTATTAACATGAAATTGTCCTGGCTTGAATTCCTCATCTCATAAATTCGATTGATATAAATGCTCTGAACAATTTTACAAGTCTGCATTGCAAGCTGATAGCACCCCCCCAAACAGATGGACCCACAGCAGAGTCTTTTAGATATATTTTTAGTATGTAGATAGATATTTAACTAATGGGAGAAATGCACGGAAATGAGTTTGGAAAATTTCTCAATAACTTGCTAAAGATAATACACAGTTGACTAACATTTCTTGTGTCCAAGTTGTACAGACCATCTGTTTTCATTAATTATAGAACGCAATGCCAGTCTTAAAATTCAACCATCATACAGGACAATGGTCTTCAGCATGAATGTGTCTTTAGGGCTTTACATACAGGGATTAACTCTGGGTTCCCGATCAATCAATTTCACAATCAAATGGTTAGCAAGTGTCACAGATTTCCTGTTTTGTAGTATAAGCTGCACACGGAATCTTGTGCATTTTTACCCTGACACAGATTCCACCCATCATGCTAAGCCACATGATCTACTGAATAAACCACAATGAGTTCATTTGCATAGGCCACAAAGCAATGATTTGCAAGACACAATGACTAGATTCAAGACATCAATACGCCTAAAGAAAACAAACAATATTATGGCTTAGCATACTGTGTGAACTCAATCATTGTGCTTATTTTTTAAAAAAAACCCATTGAAATCCTGATTTATCTCAAACCAAGTTACTCGCTTTATGAGACTTAGGCTACTATCTTATGGACATGTTTCCTGGAGTAAGTCCCATGGAGCATAGTGGTAATCAAATATTGAACTGTCACATAAAATATATATATTTTTAAACTACTGTCATTCTAGGCACATTTTGAACATACAAGCTTCTTTTCTACAAAACTGATAAATCTCAGCCTTCAAGGATTATATAGGTTTAAAAAAAAAATGTAACCTTGCAACCCTACTCCAAGCCAATTTAATACAAAATATGTTGTTGTTTTTCCCTTTTGACCATCTCCTGCACGAAGCAAATGTGATATGAACAAAACCTAAATTCCTATTTGGCCAATGTTGGTAGAATCAAGATCAGCAGAAGAAAACAGAGTCATGGACAGAGTTCGACTGGTTGCATTGACAGCATTTCTCTTTCTCGCCAGCTGAGCTCCTTCTTAAGTGCCTTGGGGACAATGCTGGACCTCATTTTGTCCTCTTGAGGGGCATGCAAGCAGAACAGGCCTGCCATCCTGCAGTGTCTTTTACACAACTTTCTCCTGCCTGCATTATCACAAGAAAGCAGCTTAGTGTTTCTTAGAAGTAGGATTAGGCTGGAGATTCATCCCCAAAGAGTTTTAGGAATAAGCTCCTACTGCTGGATGAATTCTTTCTTTGATTCCTGCAATTTTACGCTGGGAAGATAGTTGAGAAGAGGCTCCTATATTCTTTGTCTCTGGAAAGCATTACAACCGAAGAAACCATGAGGACTCCATCAAGATGCTCTCCATCTTCGCCCGTCTGGGCTATTTTGAGGCACGTTTACGAGTTACGCACCCTAAGCTTGAAATAGTTTGCAGGCAAGAGAATCCAAATGAAATTGGAGAAGTCAACCCTCTCAAGATGATTTAGATGGCAACCTCCATTCCCGACCACTCGTTTTTTAAGCCCCCCTTTGAATTTATGTTTTTTTCAATCACGTTTGTCACCACAACAAAGGGTTCTTTCAATGTCTTACTATTTTTACTAAAGAATTTTTCCAAAGGAGAGAAAACTAAAAAAAAGATGACTACAAAGACAGGATAGGTAGAATTTTAGCAATAACAAATAAAACTAATATGCCTTCTAAAATTAGCAATTGCTTTTTATTTTGGTCTTCCAATATTCAATGCTGCAGCCTATTTTTAAAAAATCTAACTTTGAAATTCCCCCAAGATTTGTATTCTGGATTCTTTTCTCAGCTTTTGTCTCTCTCTCTTTCTCTCTCTCTTTGGTCTATGAATGCATATTTTAATAATAAATTAATGATGGAAAAAAGCAGAAAAGCTTAGCTGCAGAGTGCATGCAATGCACGTTGCAGAGAGCAAGGCCGACGGGCATATTTGGAATTTGGAGAAAGAGCACATTCACAAAATGGTGCCCCTGAAGGCTTCTCTACAAAATGGCACCCAAAGGAGATGTGGGCAGTCAACCAAATCTTCTGTGACATTCTGAGGCCATCTCCTTCCTTAACTGCTTTCTCACCAAGCGGGCTCACTTTAATTAAACCAAGCACTGTGCTGAAGTATCTACCATCTTTATCCTCCAAGAAGACCTGGGAAGACATCTTTGGGGCATTGTGGAATACAGATGAAACCACAATCCAACCTTTTGCTTTGCAGCAGCCCAACTTTCTATATATGGATAGTTTTAAGTGAATAGATCTCTTTTTCAAAAAAAAAGTCCATTGGGGCAGGACGCCTGACGGCCACCAAAGAAAGCACTGACTTTCTCAACCTATTCTTGGAATAAAAGTTCTCAGCTTCAAACTCCTAGTGTTTCCAGTTGAAAAGATCAGGTTCCCTTGAGGGGACAAAGTACTGGCGTGAAGCCACTTAGGACAAATAAATCTGGCTTGGATATTCTATTACCTCAAAGGGCAGAAAAGGTGGGTTTCTAAAAACCCAATAAATCAGTGTGAAAGTTAGATGGAAGAACTGGCCAGTCCTAACCAGGAGCTCCAAGAGAGAATGACACAACCGATCTTTGTGGTGGGTGGGAAGGTCCCTCTAAGGTAGGTGTGACCAAGGCAAAAATGAAGTGTCCTTCCATTTACACCGACATGCGATTACAATGAACTCTTAACAGGATGGCTTTCTAGTCTCATGTTTAATATTTCCCCACTCAGCAGCGTGAGAAACTACACGGTGGAAATGTTGGGAGGGCTATGGAGGGGTTGAAATGCAGCAACGGTGTGGAACTCACCCCTACAACAGCAATCAGAGCTGCCAACTTTAACGTGCTCTGTGGTGGGACCTGGGATGGAGCTGCCTGACCCTTCAGTTGAACTGCAATATTTACAGTGCTTTCAATGTTAACTTTTTTTTCATACTTCAAAGGCTCTTTTCATTGGCTCAGAGATGGGATGGTGCTTCTGTAAAATAACTTCTCAAGTGTTCCTATTCTGCTGAACTTCCTGGCATAAAAGCAGAGGAAGATCAAGGTTGTAAGTAAAGTTCTCTACGTCCATCTCAAGGAGATACACACCGGGACTGGCCTTCACTTACCTCTCACCAAGATAATCTCCAATAACCGTTTTATTTAGCCCTTCCCCTTTATAAAGGAACTGAGCGATGTCCTCTGGAGTATTCTGTAGGAGATCATTTTCAATGAGAAACTGAATTCCCTAAAACAGCAGAAAAAAGGAAGACAAGAATTCAGGCTTTGTTCCTCTTTATCGAAATCTACATTCCGGAAATATCAAGAAGCTTGAGAGAACATTTTCTTTTCAGCAAGTAATGACCCTGCTTGTTAGTCCAAGGAGCAGAAAACAAAGTGAATATTCAGCAGATTCAGCAATAGGAACAGTTTGCAGGGGGCGTCCGTCCGCGGAGGGTCAAAAACGTCAAGGTGTAATCAAAGCCTGTCCCCTTTTGAAGATAAAAAGAGGTGGGGCTTCACTTACACGGTAGCCACTGCCATCTTGACTTTTTTGACCATCTCCTGCAGATGCCCCTGACACTTTGGACAACTTTTGCTCTTTTTTTACACTTCTTCTTAAGAATGGAGAAGTCAAGTCAAGAAGAGAAAATTGAAACTAATGTTTTTTTCTTACTTTCCTGTTCCTGGTTGATTGAACAAGGAAACTCATCTACCCAAAGCTTTGGCAATCTCATGGTTGGGTTGACACATGGCTAAATACCATACTAACCCATGGCTTGCTTTAACCATGGTTGACTGAACAAGCAATTGGGATTACCTATAATGTTAAGCTATCATGTGGCTTGCTTGATTCTGACTTAGTGTGTTGTACAAACTCAGCCTCTGCTGGTTGGGCTCTGTCCCTTCTTCATTTTTTTTTTTGAGAGAGAGATGCATTTGAACATTTTGACTCACATTAGCATCAATAGAATTAAATACCATTTAGAAAATGGCATTTTAACTACACTTTGAAACGGGACTTAATGGGAGCAATGCTTTGGCAAGATTTATTGCTCTTTCTCATTCTCGAGACAGCTGGAGCCAGAAACGGCTGGAATGGAAATACAGTCCTGGGTTCCTTTTTCCAAACAAACAGGCATAAAGTTCAAAGCAGGTTTGGGATGAAGGAGGAATGGGGAAAAACAAACGTATTTTTGACAGAAGAAACACCGAGGTTGATGCCAAAAGGCAACCGGTGCTGACTGCTCCTGAGGAAGAACAATGTCTTGAACTCCTTTATCAGCATAAGCCCAATGCTATTTTATCAATCTTGGAAACTATTTTTAGTCTCGAAAAAAGCGCAGTTGCTTTTCACTCCCTTTCTGCCTGTGTGTGCAGAAAATTGCTACCGCAAAAACTTCCCTAAGTATCTAGCCAAACTGCAAAACCCAAGAATCAGATTTCCTTTTGAAGCTACAGCATGAGGCAGTGTTTTGTTACCAAAAAGGATTAGGTTTCCTTCCACAAAACCACCAGGAGTAAAGAAATTTGTTGCAATTCAAAAGCTCGTCAAGGGATCTCCTGTTTTCTCTCTCTCTTATTTTCTTTCAGCTCTACGCTTCAGAAATTCCTTTCCTGTTATAGGGCCTGTTTTCTGGAGATCCAGATGTCTCCCAAAAATGAAGTTATCGTCCTCTGAAACAAAATAAAGATAACCACTTAGGGAGAAAACAAGGCTCCAGATGTATTTAGCTCTTAGGATGGAGGGAGGTGAACAAGACAAAACAGACTGTGTGTTGGCAAAACTGCCTCTCGGAGATCTAATAAAGAAAAATGGGAGAATGAAATAAAGAATGAAATGTAATAAGAAAGATACATTTCCAGAACGGACTTCGACAGCACACACCGATGATGCAGAGCTCTGTTTGTTAGACTTCTCCAGCAAGGTGGTCCATTGGAGATCAGGGGTGTCCATGGAGGTGGGTTAATAAAACAAGATGGCGGTTGCAATTGCATGCTTGCAGTTGCCATCTTGACTTTTTTAAGGTCCTCCTTATGGACCCCCGAGAGCTGGGTAGCTGAGGCAAACACCAATGCTTTAAGGAAGCTGTAATGGTCTGTGAGAATGACTTTGGGAGACAGGTAGAAGAGCTGCAGACTAGGCAATGGTCAGGCAAATGGCAGCTGAGCCCGCAGAAGGAATGGGGGCATGGCAAACATCTCAGAAGGGACTCTCCCTAATTTCTTGGACTGTAAAGGGGAGAGGGGAGAGATGTACTTCCAGACTTGCAAGATCGATGTCAGCCTTGTGAGGTAGTCCAGACAAGAAACATACCCAGAAGTACTAGCCCTATCTTTATTGTAAGGTTACATTAACAGAACCTTGCAAGTCTGAACAGAATTTTGCAAATCTCTCCCCCGTTGCCTTTATAGTGCAAGAAACTAGGGAGGATCCCTTCTGAGACATTTACCCTGTCCCATTCCTTCTCTGGGCTCAGCTGCCACTTATCTGACAGTTGCCTTGTCTGTGACTCTTCCTCCTCTCTCCCAAGGTCATTCCCATATACTATGACAGAAGCTGTTGGAAGTAGCACTTGGAAGGAGAGAAACAAGCAAGTAACACACCTTTACACAAAGACAATCCATTCTGAGTTCCATCTTGGGGCTGTCCTTCTAAGGTACCACAATCTACAATCTAAAAAATGGTTTTGCAGCAAACTATTTTGATGCCATTACAGATACCTCCTGAGAAACCCATATTGTGAACCCAATGGTTTATGGCTTAGAACAGTGTTTCTCAACCTTGGCAACTTGAAGACGTGTGGACTTCAACTCCCAAATGCTGGCTGGGGAATTTTGGGAGTTGAAGTCCACACGTCTTCAAGTTGCCACAGTTGAGAAACACTGGCTTAGAGTATGGGATGAACTCCTCCAACTATGGTTGATTGAATAAATGGTGGTTAAACAAACAATGGCTTGGGGCACATGAAACAACTCAGCCCAAAGTAAAGATTCTCAAGAACCAGAAAACATCTCACCTTCTTGGGATCCATGTTGAATTTTTTTCTTCCCATTGCAACTTGCTTATTTCTTTGGGTAGCTTTACTGTCAGTTTGGAGGGAAGAGAAATGAAAAAGGAACACCATTAGACAAAAAGACTTGTCTCCATGAAATATATTTCCACCATTAAATTTCAGGCGTTATTTACAGCATCATAGCACCCGATGTAGCCAACACAGAAACTACAGCCTAGTTGAATCTTCCTTCTCGAAGTTAAAAAATTGTTATTAACTCAGACAAAAATCAGGAGTTGCCTTGGTTTTATTGCAGAGAGTCAGAAATGGCATCTACATATTTTGACATACCAGAGCCAGGAATTATAGGGTTTTAACCCACAGACCAGTTAAACTGGATTCATTCAAGCCAACTGACAATATAATACACTGAGTGTCTGGACTGCCAATAAGTGTTTAGGTCTTCTGGTTTGCTAGCACAAACCCACAACAGAAACGATGGCAGAGGCTGAATAAATGAATGAAGGACGTTGTGCCAAAAACACCGTGAGAATTGCAGGGTTGTGCCAACGGCAAGATGCAAGGCTCTTTCCAGTCCACTCTCCAAAAAGTTGATGCAGAAACATCAACCATCATATCCTGAAGACCCTTCAGCCACTCTGAGTCCAGATGCACTAAAATAACACTCTTCGTATAAGAAAAAAGGTTGTTTCTTCCCCCCCCCACAAAGGCAACGAAAATTACATTTTTGCTTGCTAAGACCCAATGGCAGTTTAAGATATAAAACCCTTTCCTTTGCTTTAAAATGTATGTCTGCTCTGGATGCAGAAACGTGTGTCTCTTGCAGCAAAGGAGAAAAGATTATACAATAAATTGAATAAACAGAGAGATCTGATGGGAAAGCCTACATTTATGGACGGCAGAAAAGTTCCTGCTGGCAGATAGAAATTTTCAGTTGCACCCCAAATTTAGAATTTGGTAGGGTCTGTTTAGAGAAAGGGAGTGTGTGAGTCTTTGAACATGGATTGCTTTGTATGTTATGTGAATGTTTTGTGACATATGATTTGTTGTGTTTAAAATGACATTGAAGGTCAGGTCCTACTTGTTTCTTTGTTATTTGGCACTTAGACACACCCAGCATTAAACCACAGTCTGTTTAATCATGGTTTGTCAATTCAACTAACTGGCTGGGTCAGACTCCTCACTAAGCCCATAAACCTGGCTTTACAAGCTACTGTGTGTTGTTTGGCCCAGACAATACACTGCTAAGCCACCGTATACTAGATACAACATATGAACCCAGTCTTTCTGCCCCAATTTCAGTATGACAGACATCAAATGTAAATGGGGCAACTCTGTTGAATGGGTAGTCTTGCAACATGATGTGCAAATAGGAGGGTCAAAGGGAAGGAGCAAGAAACACTGTGTGCATCATGACGCAAGACACCAATCTTGTATTTGCATCGTGTGCGTCATGACACGACGATGCCTGCAACATCATTTTGATGTCGTCATGGATCCTACCAGATACCAGTGTTCCATAGCCCTCTGAGGAAGAACATTATGGCAACAGAGGGATCCACTGGACCCCTTCCTTCAGCCCAAGAAAATAATCTGCAAAGAACTTGTTGAGTTACTGAGCAGAGCAGAGCAAAACTTCTTCTGCTATCTCTCTAGGACAGTGTTTCTCAACCTCAACAACTTTAAGATGTATGGACCAACTCCCAGAATTCCCCAGCCAGCCATGGGAGTTGAAGTCCACATGTCTTAAAGTTGCTGAGGTTGAGAAACATTGCTCTGGAGACTTGAGAGATGAAGGTCAGGACATCAGCCAAAGGACCATGACTCACAGAACTGGAGAAAAATCACAACTCCCCACTTTGTCCTAGCCTGCAAAAGCTGACCTCCCACCCACCCCCTTTTCTTCCTCCCCTTCCCTTGGTCTCCTCAGCTTACAAGCCTGATCTGAGCCCCTCTGAGAGACCAGCACTACCTGAAAAGTGGGCAAAGAAATGCAGCTGATACCTAACAAATAACGAATATATTGTCCATGAAGCCCCACAGGCCAAACCAACTCACCTTTCCTCTACGCTCGTCAGGTGATCGATCTCAGTCATAACTTCTTCAATCTCAAATTTTAACCGCTGCAGAAAGAACACAAGTCACAGTATTTTGTTGGTAATACGATTGTCGTGTTGTTGGCTGGATTCTCTGCCTTGTCCTTTATTTTGTTCTGATCCTATTTGTCTTTCTTGGTTTAGTTTTTTTTTTGGGGGGGGGAAACCGTATTGCATTTTCTTTTCTGTGCCCTATTGTGAAGCCCCCAGAGTCATTCTGGAGTTGGGCAGTGCCTACATCAAATCAATGAAATTAAAATAATGGAATTATAGGAGCTCTCCCATAAAATGTACTCATGGGACGGCATTTCTTCCTTTTTCAAAAAAGGAATTTAGATACTTCATAAATCTGGGGGTACCTTTATCTGCCATGTCACTTTATTCACATGAATCTGAACTAACTTCTCTTAGTAGCAATTATTAAAAAAAACAACTCGAGTTGAAAAACAGCCATTTAATCCAAGCCAGGAGACGAGAAACTTTATGAATGAAAGGAAAAGGATTTACCTCGATATCATCAATTAATTCTTTTTTTCTACGACGGATGTTTAAAAGCTCTTCTCTCTCCTCCACAGAAAGATCATCGGGCACTGGAGGAAAAGAAATACACACTTATGAACAAACTAGAGCTTGCCCTAAGCTGAGAACTGGTGGCTGGTTGAAAATAAAAGGACATACGGATTACTTCATCCTTTGCCCATAAAGAGAAACTCCATCAACTGAGTGAATATTATTAGTTTAATAGCAAAGACCTCACGTCAGGTTTATTTTCCCATAAAACACTCAACAATGATTAGCAAGGAACTCCATTAGATGCGCACATCCGCATGTTGGCTAATATAGGAGCCCTTCACTTAGCTCGAAAATTATAAAAGCCATTTGCTCCTCAAACTCCATGAAAAGCAGAGGCTGAAACAATTAACAACATTAAATGGTTCCATGTCAGTGGCAAAGTGCACGCATGGAGACATTTTAAACTGCAAGTGTTTTTCCTTGTCTACAAACAGACCCATTTCGGGAGCCGAAAAGGAAGAGCATCTCTGTTTCAATCAACGCGGCTGCTGAAAAAAGTTCATTTTTGACCAGCTCTTTTTCATTCTGCAATGGAAATGGGCTATAATCTTTATTTAAGATTTAACAGCTACAGGGAATTACATTATTCTGCTCAGTGATGTATAAAGTTGGGCAAGGAAAAGGAAAAACGAGAGAGATGTCAGCATTTTTGACGGGAGATTTTATGGGTTTTTTCATTTTAAAAAACTCAACTCATCCCTACGAAAGGCCAACTAGGTTTAAAGACGTTTCAGAAAGTAGAAACCGAAGCGATCGAGTTTTGGGTCATCACCCATTTTGATATATCGGAATCATCCAGAGAAATATCGCAGAAAAATACTGGTTGACGGAAACTGCTCTCACCAACTGGAATATAACAATAAGAAGGCAAAATTCCTCAACCCAATTTTTGCACAGGAACTTTGTTTTCAACACTGCTTTCTTTTCTAGTTGTCAGAAACCCCTTACAATATTTTTTGCACGCTGCTACTGTTGAGCTAGAACAGTATTTTTCAATCTTGACCACTTTAAGATGTGCCGACTTCAACTCCCAGAATTCCCCAGCCAGCTGTTGGGGTTGGAGTTGAAGTCCACACATCTTAAAGTGGCCAAGATTGAAAAACACTGAGCTAGAAGGATGCAAATGGAAAAAAAAAATCAAGGACGTTCTTTCAACTAAAAAAACAAGACATTTCCTGGACAGTCCAAATTACCAAACACAAGTGCCCCTTAATGGCATCTGGAATTGTTGCATTCAAAATTTCTATTCCTTTTAGAGCCCGAACTCACAAAAGAACTACTTGCTTGTTTCAATGTTTGGCCCAAGCGAGAAAATTAATTAATGTTTTGTTCAGAGTCAACGAAGCCCTTTAAAGCGAGGACTATTTTTATCCAGGTTTCTAAGAAGAGCTCTTGCATATGAGAAAATAGGGACGATTAGCTCAATATGACAGAGTTTTTTAAAAAAGGAAATTACAACCTTATTTTGAACGTTTTTCTTGAAAATGGCCTTCATGGTATTGCTTTCATCTACCGAAGCAACATGATGTTTTGCATAATTCTTTATAAATATGTCCCTGTGTCTCAGGGTATATGTCTGTTTAGGTACCTAGGTGTCCATGTGAATGCATGAATCTCTGTATATATTTATCCTTGTACATACATGTAGGCATGAGAACCAGTGTAGAGTAGCAGTGGTTAAGGTGCTAGATGAAGATGAAGCTGGTTCTAGCTTCTGGATCTGAGTTCCCCCTCAGTTCCAGAAGCTCCTTGGGAGACTCAGCACCTCTCTCTCTCTCTCAGCCCCACAACCAATATAGTTCAGTGGTGAAGGTGCTGGACTAGGAGATGGGAGACCCAGGCTCTAGTCCCACTCAGCCACAGAGGCTCCCCAAGGGACTTTGGGCCAGTCCATCCTTGTCAGTCCAAGATCCAGTGTGATCTGATGCTGAAGGTGCTGGACTAGAAGATGGGAGACCCAGGTTCTAGTCCTTCCTTAATCAATGAACCTCACTGCTCTCTGCCTAATCTATCCTAACAGGGTTGTAATTTGGGGGGGGGGAGATATGGACAGAAGTAGTAATATATAAATCGATATGAATAGAGATTCATACAGAAGATTAGTTATCTTGGCAAGCTAGTATGGTGTTATGGTGAAAGTATTGGACTAGGGATGGGAAGATCTAGGTTCCAGCCCTCCAATAGGCATGGAAGCCAGCTGGGTGTCTTTGGGTCAATCCCCTTCTCTCAGCCCTCAGCTGGGAAGTCGAAAAACTTCCATCTAGCAACCCACACTAGGCCAGTGCAGTAGATTATGGTCTATAGTCCTCCATGAAGAGCTTTTCATCCTGCAGCGTATTGCTTCCAGCTGATAACACTAGTAGTGATAATAATGTCTCTGTAGATCTGTGTAGATGGATATAAAAACTTTAAAACAGCAGGAAGGAATAGCTGGTCTTTGGTGGAACAGAGCTCCATGTTTTGAAAAGCTTTTCCCAGAAATGTCCTAGACCTGGCTGAATTGGGTTGGCCATTAAGCAAAATTATTCCAGGGTGGGCTGGATTAAGAGCTGTAGGATTCTTTGGACAAAAGTAAAGACGACGCATTATAAATAATTTTTGGGAGCAGCAGAAGGAAGTCTCCATATGTAAAACAAGAAACATATTTTGGCTGCTCTTCCAGGAACATACCTTTGATCTCCCAAAGATTTGGACAGCAAGCTGATACCATGTAGGAAGTCTAGAGGATAGGCTCTGTTTGGTTAAGTATTGTAGTCGGGCCCTAACATTCACAAGCCAAGTCAAAAATTATCCCCCACCCACCCACTGTCTTAATTTCCTTAGCAGTAGAACATTAGTAATCCTTCAGTTTACATATTTCTGAAAGCCAAGAACTATGAAAAAGCAACTAATAATAAAACCTAACCCTGCTTCAGGAGAGAGACTGCTCTGCAACTTAACCAAATTTAACAAATGCTACTGTTCATAAAGGGAAAAGATTCACATGTTTCTTCTTAAAAAAAATTACAAATATTTTTATACCTTCAGTGAAGATCGGCAGGTGCTTCGCCTTTTTAATAATCCTCCTTCCACTTTAACCCACTGTCATAAATCTGATTCATCTATGAAGTATTTTTCAGACCACGGCAACAACCAGAGTCAAGCTTAGACCTACTTGGCCATGCAGATCTTTTCACTCAACCAGCACAAGGTCTCCATCTTCCTTTCTGGCAGGTGCCATGTAATGTTACTGATGAAAGAGAGGCACTTGGTTTTATTAACAGAAGGAAAAGGCGATTTCTAAGGTGGGTTTGACATATTTCTCCCTGATCATAGTGGACCAGTTTGGATGCCACCCTTACTGGGCTTATAGTTAAGCACTGAAATTGCCATGAAGATCATGGTTGGCCAGCTATCTATGCATGGTTCATAATTGGAAGGGGGCGACAAGCATCATCTAGTCCAACTTTCCTCAATGTGCAGGAAAACCAACTCAACCATCCATGAGAGGTGGTTCTCCATCCTCTTCTTAAAAACTTCCAGAGATGAAAAACCCACCGTCTCCATAAGGAGACTCTTCCACTGTTGTACAGTTGTTCCTAAGTGTTCATTTAAGCATAACTACTGGATAAGCTGGTTCTGGATCTTACATACTGGTGGAACAAGCGTAAGCAAGCTACAATGATATAACCTCAGGGTGCTTAGGGAGACATATGCGACCTGGGGAGTACAAGTTGCTCAGCCTTGGTTTCACACATTATGGAAATCTAACCACTCCAGCACATCATCCTTTCTAAATGCATCACGGAGAAATATACTTCGGTTAAGGACAGAATCATCTTCACAGCTTCACAACCTTCACAACAAGGGGGCAAGAAAGCAAATTGAAAACTTCTGAACAGATAATCCATAAAATAACCGGACGACCATTCTGCTCCTTGGGTGGCTGCACCATTCCCACCACATTAGCTCCAACTTCAGAGCTACTGCAGCAAAGCAAAACCTTAAAATGCCAATTAGATTAACTGAATTCCAACTGCTTAACAGTTTTGTCATCCTGGTGCTAAAAGACTTGCTCCACTTATTCCTTCCCCATTTCTTGGGTACACACCACATTTAAAGAGGAGAAAGCAGTGAGTTCACTTCCTTGTATTGGGCTACGTGCCCAGACTGCAGCTGAACTTGATCTTACACTGAGTTTCTTATCGCCATTAATTACATTTTAGAAATGTAAATCAAATCAAATTTAATGTTTCTCCTGCCTCATCCCACACTACTTTCCCAAATGCGTCCCTCAGGACATCGTTCAAAAACTCAGTATGTTCCTTGGCCTAAAAAACATTGGACAGACACGCTCTGCTTAAATTTTAAGAAGAATGAGAATGTGGGAAAGAAAATGTGGCTCAGAATTTTTTGTTGGATTTATCAGGTATAACCTGTTTTATTTCACCATCCATATGCTTCCACCAGACTTTGGAGTTTGCACTATTCCAGACATATCTGAGTTACATCATTAAGCTGAATTAAAACAAACTTTATCAAATAGTTTCAATGCTATGATTTTTTTCCAAACAACGTTAGTTTAATCTTAGTAATAGGTCAGGATTTTTAGCAGATGACTTCTGGTTTTGAGGCATTTTCACACGCTGAAAAGATGCAACTCTGGGGGTGCGGGGGCACATTTGAAGGCATTTCAAGCTTCTTAAGACTTTCAGTTCAATACAGCACAAGTTATTTATTTACGTGTTCTAAATTTCTGTTGTCACAATTTACATGCAGACAACCTTTGAGACAATCCAGAACAAAATTAAATTTGATTTAATTTCTATTAGGCGAACATAGAGTTGATATGATGACACTCTGATTTTTTTTCCTGATTTTCCTCTTTGTTCTGTTTGAAGATTTCAACTGGGTGGCAACTTTAGGGCACACCTATGGGGGGTACATATTGCAGCTCTTAAGCCCTTAAATTCTACCTCTTTCAATATTCCCAGTTATTACAATAAATAAATGAATTTTTAAAAAAGACATAATCCTG